CCCACCGACAAATCGACGGGAGGGGGATCGAGACAAACAGGATAGCAGTGTGACAAAGCGGTGGCGATCACGAGAGCGAACTACCCCACCGACTCCAGTTTCAGAAAGATGACTAGCGTTATAGCTTTACATAGTCGATGAACCATCCGAAATCTGTGCAGCGTGTTTTTTGACTGCGACTACCCCCCCCCCTTAAATTCCAGAATCTTTTGACATCCTTCCCAGGGAAATACCACCTTTACGATACCTTGATGCTACCCCATCCTAAAATCTGTCATTATTTTATATTTACAATTTTCAGTAAAATTCGTCAACCCCTTTACTACATCCGCTGTTAACATTCCTATACGACATCTTAAATTCAGATCTGAAGAATTATATATGCTAGCACTCCTCCTCCAGTTTTTTATTGTACATCGGTCGTTTTTCCGTCTTGTTCAAAAACATGTACTCATTTCTTAATGAGCTCTCTACATGCTGTCTTCCTGTTACGTGTGTTTATATATATATATATATATATATTTTATCTGATAACTTAATGCATCGGCATCTGACAACGGTCAGTCAGTTTATGGATCGAATTCTGGATGATGTTGTCCAAACCCACTTCATCCTAAATTAATGACCGCTAAGTCTTTCGTCACCGCGCGCCGTGGTTTTCGTCATGTTCTGGCAAGTGTCGGTATAACTGCGTTCAGTTTTACTATCTCGGGCAGGATACCTAACATTTAGAGAAGCCATAATACTGAAACTGAGACCCAAACTGTCCCATGATATTTGTGCAGTTTTTTGTCAAACACACTAAGCCTCCCATCGTCTATGAATTTGTATTTCGGTCATCTAAGTGGGGTAGGTTTTTACAGAAAGTTCTGGCATGATACCTTAAAAATGACGCGCATTCCTCCCTCTCACTCTATCACCCTCTATCCCCAAGACATTCGGAAACCGCATATGCGCATATATAAAAACCTTTTGAAAAAAATCAGCGTATTTCAGACCCTCTCACAACACCTCCTGAAACCATATATCTAAAACACCAAGGTCTACTCGCTCGTACCTGCGCTCACGAAAGCTACGCTCAACACATCACGTGTGTGGCATGCATGCGATGCCAGTTTGTTTATGATGAGCGAAGCTTACGTAAGACACCTGCTATCTGCTGATGTCCGCCCGTGTGGAGGAAGGACAAAGAGGGCGGGTATGGCACACAGCAAACGGTGAATTAACGTCCTGTCAGTCACTGAGCTCAATCTCACTTCCGGTAGAACTGACTCCACCAGGTCATTGGTGCATGAAGGCGTTAGGTCAATAGAAAAAATCCGTCCGCCTGGCCAGTTGGCGCATTTTTCAACGCAAAAAATCTGGAGCGTTTGAATCTCAGTTTTGAAGGTTTCCAGTGACCCTCCTTTCCAACGAGTATCAGACTGCAAGTACTACTTACTGTGGCCTTTATGGTGCCTCTCATTCTACAGTGTTGAAACAAGTTTCATGCTGTAACACTCGTTGTTGCTGCTCTGTTAGCTGCTTAGACGAGAGGCTGCGGACCAAGTTTGAGTTTGCCGTGCCTGGTGGTTTTAGCCTAGTCAGTTTCCGTTCCAAACTTCTCTCTTCCGGCTTTCCTGTGGTGTGTCAGAGGTGAAATTGACTTCCCAAGATCTGCGGCGATAGGATCGCCGAGAGTGCAGACACACTGCCTTCTGTTCTCCTCGATCTCCGCCTTGTACTTCTGCAAACGCCATTGACAGTTGTCGGTCAGAACTCTTCCCATGGCCATATTAACAGGAGCTTTATATCTCAGGCATCGCAGGGTTAGTTCGTCTTGTGGACATCGATGCAGAAACCGTAACTGCTCGTATGTTGCTGCCTCTCAAGTAGAGAATACCTCCCAGATGCGAGCAGTGCGAAGCCCATTGCGCCCGAATTTTTCCCGAATAAAGGCGAAATTTCGAGTTCCAGGTGTATGCACAAGTGAAGAAGAAGAAGAAGAAGAGTCGAGCACAGGAACCCTTTGTTTGTTGTCCTAAGCTTTCAGACTTGTACAGGAGTCCATCTTCAGAGGTAATAGCAGCAACAGAACAAGCCACAATTATAGGGCATGTAGGTCAATCATCGAACGACGGCGCAAGACTGGAGGTGACTCTGCACGCCCTGAAGAGGCGATTAACGAGACTCAGAATGCACTGACAACTGAATACCTCATGAGGCTGATGGAATTCTGCCACCTTACTTTCTTCACTATTGCGGGAGAGACCTATGCAGAAATCAGGGAACCCCAATGTGCTAACCGATCTCCGGTTTAGTGTCGGAACTAGTCATACAGGAGTTAGAAAAGATTTATTTCATCTAAAATGGGGCAGGTATTTTGGTGCCTTTACTTAGACGACACGTCGTCATCGCCAAGCAGAACATGCTGCAGCATTTCCACAGCCTGATAAACGCAGTCTTGCCTGATATAAAATTCACGAGGGAAGAAGAACAGGAGCAGACGAAACCTTGACGGTGAACTTGAAACGACGGTTTATAGGGAGGCAAAGAACAGCCCACAGGTTCTCAGTTTTCAAAGCACACATCCAGTGGCTCACAAACGAAGCTGTATGAAAACGCTCTTCAAACGGTTCCAAACCGATTACAGCAAACCGGAGGACAGAGCCCGTGAAGCCTGTTATCTCCGCGACCAGTTCCGGCAAAATGGCTATCCGAGGGCATTCGAAAGTCGCTGCCTACGCGGTCGCCACCAGAGGACTCGAACATCAACACCAGCGACGACACGGCATTCTTCGCCATACATCAACGGCATTTCATAAGCGACCAAACGCATTGTTGTACAGTTAGGTGTTGAAATTGATACCTTGCCACCATGCGCAGTATGGTCATGACAGGGCGGTTAAAGCCTGAAGAGAAATCAGGAGTAGTGTATCGCATTCCGTGTCAAAACTGTCCTTATAATTACACAGGGCAGACTGGGCGCATGCTCGAATCGCAAATACCCGATTATAAGCTATCTGTGCGACGAGGCGACGCATTATCACAAGTGGCCGCCCACACCTACGAAATGGGTCGCGAGTTTAACTACGCAGCCACCAAAATAGACGCCAACGCCGGGAACACGACATGCCGAAAATTGATTGAAGCCTGGGCCTCGGATGAGAACTCGGTCAATCGATTTTTTGATCTGGCGCTGGCGTACAGAGCCCTGCGTAATCACCTCCAGTCTTCCGCAGTAGGTCGATTATTGGCCTAAATGCCTTATAAATGTCGCTTGTTCTGTTGATGTTAGTAAACGAGGCACTAAAGTATAGCGCGTGCCCGATCTCATGAAATGCTGGACGAAATTTTGAAATGCGTTTTTGATTAGGAAATATTACGTATGTGGGGTTGTAAGTAGCATGCCCTTTTCACATTGATTTTCGATGGTCTTATAAGTTCAAATATATTTTATCGAAAACATGCACAAAAATATGTCTCCTTTTATAAAATTTGGTGGAAAATCACATATTCTGTGTAATTTATACTCAAAAAGTGTACATTTATGTTTTAAAAAGTTTTCAGATTCTCGAAGAACTTTGAGCCAGATCAGCCGTTGCATTAGCGCTCAGCAAATTTAGTCTACAATGTGCTTACTTTCCACGTAAGAAAAACCACATATTTCTCTATGTCCTCAAGCAGATAGCACATAGCGTTAAATAAACTTTGTAGTGGATGCGAACTGTGTTGTACATTTCAGGAGGAGCGTTGGTAAACGGAATTGTGCGATGCTGTATGTATGTACATCGCATGGTCTTAAAAACTTCATAACGACACACTTTTTAAAAACCCAACCTTGTAAAAGAAAGTATATTCTTGTGCATGCTTTTAGTAAAATATATTTGAATGTATAAGACCATCGAAAATCAGTGTGAAAAGTACATGCTGCTGAAGCAGTCATTTTTCACTGAGTGCAGCTTCTGCAGGAGGTGCGTTCGAAATACTATAGGATCACGTCGCATTCTAGTCAATATTGCACCCCTCCTAGGCAATCATTCCTAATCGAAAACGAATTTCAGAATCTCGGGCACCATTTCATGAGATCGTTCACGCACTTTAGATGCTACGAAATGTACGAATCCACGCACAAGTCACCGTCCCTGGGTCCACCCCGCTGTGGAGCACACAGTGGACATAGTCGTCAACAACACTCTAACCGTCGAGTCGCTGTGAATGCTGGAAGAGCGGAGGGGGATAGTTGGTACAGTTAATATCTAGTTCATCACAAACCAGCTCATTCGCATATTGTTTGAGAGTACCGCTGTGGACGTCACCGGTCTGGACGGCCCTTCAGTTCTTCACATGATGCGACTTAGGTCAACCCCTCACATCACACTTTCTTTGTTCCACGGGACAGGGTAGGATTGTGCGCGGCTTTTGTCATTTATAATTCAAGCCTTGGTTACCAAATACCTCTGAAGTTGCCACCCTTTGGGGACGGCCGTCTGTGCTCGTTGGTGCGCGTATTCACAGCGCAGGAATTTTGTGCGATTTAAACGATACTCAGCTCAGGGCAGATTAATGTCCCTGATCATCTTTTATTTGATCATTCACAAGTTTTAACATAATACGGGTAGTTGGGCAGCTTTGGATAATCTGTCTTAACCAATTGTTACAAACATGGTTGCCTGGGTGAAATTAAAACCCAAGACAGTAAGGACATGGCTTGACTACAGCCAGCACTCTAACTATCTGAGTTCCGTGAGTCTTGTTTTTTTTACTTGGATCATTTCAGCTAGAAAAATTTGCCAAAGATTTCTATTTGGTTAGAACTTATCGATGATCCGACTGAAGACGTTCAGAGAGATCGGCCTGACCTGAGCTTCGAACTGTTCAGATCATTTGGAAGGCTGTCCACGACCGAGGTAACTGGCTTCCTATCGGGTCTGAGAATCTGGCTCAGCACCTTTTACGAAACGTGGCCCTCATGGCACGCCTGCCAAGGGGGATTCGAGCCGTCCTGTGAAGGTCTGGCGCATACAGCGAAGGCCTCTCAATATGCAGCCCGCGTAGACGAGCTGTCTAACTTTCTCTGCCCGCGACTCTCTCTGATAATGGGTAAGGGTTAGAATCCGAAACGCCAGGTCAATATATTTCTTCTTCCAGTATTCGCATCTTCGTCTATAGTCTAAATTTGCTAGGCACTGCGTCCGAGACTGCCTCAAGCCCTCTTGCTCGCAATAAGTTCTTGACATCGAGACACATGCGTGTGACAATCGGATTTTTAACATCACGGATGCATGGTCAGAACGCCTGGGTGCTGATTGGACAAAATTCAACCGATGACGTTTCCCACAGCCATGTACCAAGCGGTCTCTTCTAAAGCCTACCACTTGTGGTGTCTTCTGTGCTTAGTACACGTCTCGGCTGTATTGCATAGGAAGCGCTGAAGGTGCAGCTTAACGAACATGGCTTCGTTGTTGCATATACTGTTAGACTTCCAACTAGAGAACACGCCGAACATCTCGAATAATTCTTGCTTGCAGTTGAAAAGGGCTTCTGACGATTTTAGTGAATCGGTCCACGATTTAATTAGACGTTGTTTCCAAACTTTAGTTCCGCCGGCCTGATCTCGGAGACTTGGCGGCAGCAGTACGTCAGGATCTAGTGTTGCAAGAGGGCACGGGTGTCCCAGCGGCATTCACCAAGCTGGAGTAAGTGCAGGGCGGAAAGGACAACGTCTTCCTCGTTCGTCATCGTTTTTGTCAGATGCGCTAGGGGTGGGGTTCTGTCCTGCAGCCCCAGTTGCAATAAAGAAGCCAAAGCCACCTGTAGTAGGAGAATTGTGGTAATTGGGCGAATCGCGCCTGCTCAAATATGATTCAGTAGGCTGACTGTGTGACATCCGTCAAGTGGGGCTGCAGCACCAAACTTCAGCGCGCCATGAATCCAGTCAAAGCATCGGCGATTTTTGAACGAATTCAGATTTCATCACCCAGGACAGCCAATATAAAGCGGTCAGCATAGACAACCTCGAGCATTCGATGCTCGTCCAACAATTAATCGACGATTTTCCCGATAAGAAGACCCGTGAAAGCCGCCTATCATAGAAGCGAGATCTGCCATTGAAGAAGGCTTACGATATCGCCCGTCATCAGAGAAGCATACGGCATGACCTTCAGTAACTGATTCATCGCTGAGTTTCCCCCTAAACAGCAACAGCCAGCTCCTTCATAACAACTACCGCTGTGGTCGGCATCATATCCCTTGGTCAGATTGTAGACATCAGATGACGGTTACCCGTTTTACAAGAAAATGGGGCACGCAGTACTAGTATATTTCTCCAAAAATATGGCTGAGCACTTACACGTGCGTCACCTATTCTAATCAAGCTGGGGAAGGCGAAGCGATGCTCCTTTGGCACGGGGCAGATTCGATGGATCTTTAAGGCCAAAGTTAAACTCCACTACGTAGCTGGAGGAAGCAGGCAGAAAAATCTGCTCACATGGAATTAACTCAAATGTGCACTTTTTGCTATTCCACCTGAATCAGATCGCGGTTAAGTCGACTTATGATTTCCTAACAGAAAGTTATGACGATTCTACTACGGACTACTGCGGTCTGCTTGTAGAATTTGAATTTAAATGAAATGTTCAACCTCGTCTCTTCAGACCACTTTAGTCCCCTTTACGGCCGCACCAAAGGTCGAAGGAGAACTGGATCGCCTATACAAGGTTGACACGAATATTGCATGCAATATTCTCTCTCTCTTGCTTCCTCTGTCTCGCGCCCTCTCTTGTTCAGTCAACTATGGATCAGGTGCATTTTTACAACCAAGCCGTTATAGACCAGGACGCCTGGAGCACCACCACCATCAATACGCTCCGAGGACTGTTTCGATACAAAAGACGCCATCACTGACCGAGAGAGAGAGAGAGAGAAAGAAGTGGGGGCAGCTGCTTTCGTAGGTTTCCGAGGTGCAAACATGTGCCGCGCGCATGGGCGGCCGCGACATGCAAACGAGTGGCTGCAGACCAGGATAGAATGACCTTGAGACGGCTAGGTCTTGAACAGGGGCGCCGGACATCGATTAGAGGGGTTTTGGCAACATGTTCATCAACAAAGCATAAGGCGTCGATAAACTTTCGGACAAATTTTACAAAAAGGGCAACCACCAGCTGACTGACAATCTCGCCTCGCTTTTCCAGGAGATCTGGAAACGGGGACAAATGTCCGCCACCATTTCAGAAATGTCAACATCGCCATTTTGCATAAAGTAAGGGAGACTGGCAACAGTGAAATGACTGTAGAGGCACCTTCCTTCTTAATATTGCTAGCCAATCATCATCTAAGTCTAACTAGATGACCTTGACCACCCCCTCCCCCCAGAGAAAAGATTTCACCCCGAAGGTCATTGAGAATTCTGATGGAAATGCACAACTACCGACAGGGCTCTCTCCGTCGCAAAACTACAAGACAATCTCGCCTAGATGTTTGACGGAGCCAATCGTCATGGGCCTTGGAAATGCCCGAAAGTTTTGCAGTGATGGCTAAACAACTCCATAGTGACACTGTGGTTGCAAGTCGTGGGTCATGGATCAGTCTTGGCGTCTTCTGCGATTCTGCTCCCGGTTCATTTTTATTGATAAGCACGTAAAGGACTGGACCCACGCCAGCACATATCTCAACGATATATTAATAACCAACACATCTGAGCATAGTCACTTGGAGACCCTAAGCGTATTTTTAAGGGCATTTAGAAGAATCGGGTTCAAACTCACGTTCCTAGGTTGGACCAACCCTCTTTCTCTTGTTCATAAATGATTGTTTTGATGGGTTTGACTGTGATGGATCTATTTTTGCAGATGACATACCAATCTGGAAAGTTATCCAGAATGCTGCCGATGAGACCAACATCCGAGAAAATCTTTGTCGATTGGATAAGGGGTCCCTCAGATGGCTCTTGTCTTTCAATTTGAAAAAATGTACCATACTGCACTTCGGAAATCAGACCCCTAGGACGCGGCAATATCATCTGAAAGAGAAGCAGAAACACAGAAAGATCTCGGAGTCTGGGTTACAAAGAGCCTTATGCATTTTACAAAATATTGTAAGGCGGTCAAGGCCGCAACCTCCGTGCTATATTCCATCAAGCGGGCATTCGCAGTTTTCGATAAAGACTGATTCTCCAAAGTCTTCAGCACGTTTGTAAGGCCGCATCTCGAATACGCGATTCAGGCCTGGAGACCGTGGACGCAGCAAGATTACATTCTGCCCGAAAGGGTGCAGAGTCGAACAAAAAAAAAATTAATAAGAGGTCATGGTGCATTGCCATACGATATCCGCTTTACTAACCTTAATCTCTATCCTCTGAGTTATAGGCAGCTACGCAGAGACTTGAAAAAACTTTCTGTATAGTGCGTGGCTTGGCCGGCGCCCTTCGGTGCGACGACTTTTTCCAACACACCAGTACAACCAACCTCCGGGGACATCCTTTTAAGCTACGTGTACCCCAAGGCAGATTGAATGTGAGAAAGTATTTCTTCTCCAACCGTTTGGTGGAACCGTGGAATAACCTGCCCGAGACGATTGCTATGTCTCAATCTATGGCGACATTTAAATGCCGGCTTGATAGACATATGCTGCAGCAAAAAGCGGACTATGTGACTTTTTAGCCATGAGACCAGTGACCCATGTGAACAGTGTCTGCATTCATTTAATGCTGTTAATTCTTCACGTTTCTGCTTATTTTATCGATTTTTTTATGTGCAAAGAGGGAGTTCAAAAGCGTAGGCTCATTTCCCTCAAATACACTGACTGACTGACTGAGAATTGAGTATGTAGGCCATAAAGTAAATAAAACTTGCCTCCATTTCCTCGAACGTTGCAGCGCCCGAACAATTTCAGTCAAATGCGCGCGTTCCTTGGGTTAGTTACCACTGCAGTCGCTCGGCTAAAATTGTGAACCCTCTTTATCGTCTACTTCAAAAGACTCGTCGCTGGAACTGGTCGGTTTTCGAACGAAATGCTCTTGAACCGAAAAAAATGACTCCCAGCTCTCCTTCTGCCCTGGTTTATCACCATGAGAAGTCTATCCTACTAAAATGCGACGTATTCCCGTACGGCCGGGGTTCGATTCTAATGCACAAAGTGCCTTCTGGTATCGAGATGATGATAACTTTTATAGCCGGAAACCAAGTACTAACAACTACAAAACGCGCCTTATCGCAGGAAACGTGGTGACAGAAACTGATATGAGAATTTTTGGATGCGTTAAGTGTTGCATACTTTGCTTTCTCGTCCAATCTTTTCAAGGAAATGTCCTTTTCTTGTGTAGAAAATGTGTCCACGTAATGCGATTAAACAGAATTGTCATAAATTTGAGCGAAAATGGACGTTGCGATGCGTTCGGCAGTTTCTTATGCTTTTGCCCATCATAGACATCGGTTACGCATTCGAACGTGGTTTACTTAGAGAGGAGAGTAATTTACTCTTAAGAAATTTATTAAACAAAATTTTCCTCACTTGAAAAGCAATTATTTATCTGGTGCTAACCGCATGAATCAGTTTGCTAACACACAAGTTATTTAAAGAAAACCAGACGTTTTAAGATTTTTAAATCAGACTAGTACATCTGTGCGAATGCGTGGCCTGAAGTGCAGTCGTAACACTCACGGACAAACGTTTGTTTCAATGGGGCGAATTTATTTTTCCATTTGGAAAATTATATGGATTGACACTGAAGTGACTACCACTGGATTGTCATTTTCAATATTGGACATATGGAACATTGTTTTCGCGCGGTCTAGCTACGGTGCACAAGTAATTTAGAAATGGAACAAGCAAAACATGGTAAGATGCGGTTCTGTAGTCCCACCTAATGAACACAGCAGTGTTGGAGTTGGGGGGTAATGTTTACGTGGTAGGGTTAGGGATTGAGAGTTGGGGTTAGGGCTCGGGTAACTATTTCTCAATCGTGCAATTCCAGTAGCTTTTCTTTTGCACGGACCTATTTGACCTCGTCGCATGTGCGCTCCCCGACCCAACATGTAAATACCCCTAGTACTACCGGTCCCGTATTACAGGTGGTTGGAGTATGTTTACTTCAGGTGGGACTTCATAACCACATCTGACCCAAAACATAAACGGATTCAGTGAAATATCAGTAGTAATGTGGCCACTCCACAGTGAACTCATGACCGTAGAAAGCAACCTACGAGTGAGTAAAGATGACGAAAAAGAGCGAAGTATAAAGAGAAGAGTGTGTTCTCACGTTTGCAGCAGGAATATATCAGTATTTTTTTTAGCAACATGAAAGAAACGGCCAGAAGTGTAAAATGTTTTTTTGGCTTTATCATGTAAAAAAATAAAGCAAACAGACCTCCGCAAACGGAATGCCGTATGAAAACAGTCCGTAAGAAGTTAACATGCTAGATAATGTTCTCTTTTAGATCGACAGTATATTCATTATTGATTTTTGCTGTGGGCGTTCATTTAATCCGATGACGAGGTTTCTTGCTTAGATAAGTCATCAAATGTGACCCAAACGCCTAAAAACTTACTTCTTCTGTAAATGCCTTCAAGAAGTATCTTATTTAAAGGGTTTGTATAAACGCATAATGTGGGATCTGCCTTCAAAGACAACCGACAGAAAACTGTAAAGTACACAACCATATTTGAAGGCCGATCTGAAATGCAACGTATTTCAGAATAGGTGG